GGGAGCTCATTGAGGTGGTTATGGACTTGGGGAGAAAGCCGATTGCTCGGTTCCCGTCGGGTGATTGGGTCGTGTCCCAGCTGCCGGTGAAGCTCGAGGACCTACGCCACGCCATCTCTAAGGTTGATTCAAAAACTCCTTTTGTGTGATTTGTGAGTATTTGGGCTTATTTGATAGGATATTTGGTGGCTACATATGTATATGCTTAGTGTGGAACATTTTATATTGTGTATTGTTCTGTTTTCATGAAAGAATATGACAGTTGGTGGATAAAATAGCTTTTGTTTGTGTTCTGTCACTGTGGTCTGTAGAAATAGAATCTTGTTTTTAGGGTGATTAATTGTTGGTGTTTTAGGTAGGTGAGTTTTCGGATGACAACCGTTCGGGGATCGATCACTCTCTGCACCGTATAAGTGCCATTAGGAATCGTAAAATGCAGATTATAGGACTTACTTGCCGAGTGGGTCGAGCTGTGTCGGGGAGTGCTGAGATCATACGGGACTTAGTCGAAGGTGGAGGCTCCATTTTGGTCATTGGGCCACCTGGTGTGGGCAAGACCACTCTAATCAGGTGTACATCATTCACACGTTGGCCGAAATAGAATCTCTTTCGACTTTTTCTTCACATCTGCCGAAGAAATTTCTTTAGATGACTTTGGTAACGAGACTAGTAAAATTTTTTGCATTTTTGGGCGATGCAATGTAAAAGTCCCGGCTTTTTAATTGGTGATATATGATTTGGTTCTTAGTTTGTCTTTCCTTTTTTTTCTTCACAGGGAAATTGCTAGAATATTGGCTGACGACCAGCAAAAACGTGTAGTTATTGTTGACACGTCAAATGAAATCGGTGGTGATGGGGATGTGCCTCATTCTGGTATAGGTCGTGCAAGAAGGATGCAAGTCCCGAACGTTCACTTGCAGCATAACGTGAGTCTTGATATTGTTCTGCTTCTTTTATATTTCCTGTTTTGTGTACATTAAAGTTACTTGGGAACTCGAATTTTGAGCTTTTGAATATTCAGCTCTATTTTTTTTTTCCCAAATTCTGAGCAGGTAATGATTGAAGCAGTTGAAAACCACATGCCTGAGACCATTATAATTGATGAAATCGGGACCGAGCTTGAGGCACTTGCTGCATGTACAATTTCCCAAAGAGGTGTTCAGCTTGTTGCAACCGCTCATGGAATAACTATAGAGAGCATCATTAAAAATCCATCTTTGCAGACCCTTGTTGGTGGAATAGAGGTGCATAATACTTATAGATCGATCTCCTTGCCTAATTATAAATAATAGTCGATTACAGAAAATAAAGTAGCTTTTGTTTCAGTTATGAGAAAATTCCACGTGAGGTCATTGATTTGTTTCTAGTAGTATAAACCTCGAGGACGATAGTTTCGATTCATATGGTTTCTGAGCTAGCATATCTGTTTGAAAATTTGGATGGTGATATTTAGTTAACTGAAAAAACAGAGTGTTACTCTGGGTGATGAGGAAGCACGAAAGAGGAAAGTACAGAAAACTATTCTCGAGAGGAAAGGGCCCCCGTCATTCACATGTGCGGTCGAGATTATATCGAAAACCGAGTGCCGAGTTCATCATAGACTTGATGCAACTGTAGATGCTATATTGGCAGGTAATTTTGCATTTATCAATTCATTCAGTGACATTTAACAAATCGATCTTTTATAGCATTAGCAGCGCTTAACTTGAACTGCCTCTTTTTTTTTTTATTTATTTATTATTTATGTTAGGGAAATCTCCATTGTTTGAGGTTCGACGCATAGAAGCTGGAGCTAATAATTCCGTGGAATCAAATCGGCCACTTGAGGACTCTCAATTATTTAAAGTTTGCAAGGTGGATTCTGAAGATGAAAAATCACTAGGGTCAGCTCAATTTCCTAAAGAACACCTTGTTGGATTTTCGGAAGTGGCAAACGATAATCTAAAACAGACTAAAGGAGAGTTTCACAGGGAAGAAGACGATTACTATCATAGGTCTAAGAAATTGGGCACTAATGTATATGTGAGCCGAAAGAGCTACCCGTCTTATGTTTACACTTACAAGGTACCATTCTTTCCTTTTCCATCATTTATTGACATGGTTGTCCGAAAAGGTTTGAGTGTTTCCTATAAAATCATCCTTAGCTCTAACCTTTTGGAATAGAAGGTTTTTTTTGCTAATAAAAGGTACATAGAAATTTTTTCGTATCCAAGCAGAACCATAAATGCATTTGTAGAAAATACTTTCAGAGCTAAATTTCATAGGATCTGAAGACTGCAGTTTATTCAATATGCAAGATCAAAATGCTTGTGTGATTTTGCTCGTGGCATTTTTATGTCAGATCCAAGAAGTTGATTTGCTGCAAGTAGCGGCTGTAATGGGGCTCGAGGATAAAATAGATGTGACGGACAATATCGGTTTAGCAGATGCCGTTTTAGCATCGAGTGATGAAATGAAACAGAATCCTTGGATTCGTGGGGTGGCGAAATTCTATCACTTGCCCGTATTTGTTATCAAGGTATCCACAGTAGATTTTAGTTTCATAATTCAACGAAAAGAGTTCAATTTTGAAATTATTAACAATACACTTCAAATTAAGTTTACTCTTTCCCAAAACATTGCAGTCCACTACAATGGCCCAAATGGTGAAAGCAATCCGGATGATTCTTGAGATCGATTCATTTAGCTCTAGACGAAAACAGTCGGGCAAAACTTCTCCCGACATTGAAATTCATGACGATGCACCAAAGAGAAAACCATCACTTGAAGAAATTGATGCCTTGGAGGTACATGACTTCGTTATGATATAGGGTGTGTTTAGTAAGCATATAAGCTAGCTTATAGCTTATTTGATTAGCTTATAAGCTTCTTGTCTTCGAATAAGCTTGGTTTGATAGGACAATTTTTTTAAAAAAGCTCGAGCTTTATCTCTTAAGCTTCCTTGGGTAACGTTTCAGATAAGTCCATTGAATGTTTTATTTCAACTAGCTTATCAGCTACTTTTACCAAACACTTTTATCATATAAGCTAGTTTTTCAGCTATAAGTCATAAGCTATCAGCTATATGCTCAAAATTCACTTAAAAGCTATAATCTAGCTTATTAGCTAGGTTTACGAACACACCATTGATATTTCCTTAACTACATAATCGACAAAAGGATTGTTACCACACGATTGATACATGTCTCGGTTTAGCATTATGAAAGTTACATCTTTACTTGCTATCTGGCCTCATTAACGTTAGTATTTGAAATGCATTGAGCTTTTTTCTTATGTCCAAACATTTAACAAGTTGGGGGCCTTTGCAGTCATCCTAGTAATTAGATTTTAATGTTACCAATTCTCAACTAATACAGGAAGTTCGACTCGCGATTGAATATATTGTGATACCTGGAGGCGAACCTGTTGAGCTTCTTCCAAGGCGATCTGAAATTGTTGCTCGACAACTTGAACTCGTCAAGAGTTATCAGTTAGCTTTCGAGAATTCTGGTACTGAATCAAATCCCAGGTTGCAAATCCTTCCTCAGAAATTAAATGAGAAAACAGCAATAAAATCTAACTCAATTTTTGCCAAGAACTTAAGCCCCAAGTCAGATTCGGGTGAAGGCCCTGGTAATAGTGATGTTCGGCTGCCATTTCTGCCTGAATAATTCGACGAAAATCACGGTAAATATCAGCTGGTGGGTGATGTATGGATGTGTATGTCCAACACTTGTACAGTTGTATAAATTATGTATTTTTTCTTTCTTTCTTAGCTGATTGTTTAATGATGTAAAGTCTTTGATTCAACATAGAAATATGTATAGAAACAAATCAGTTACAAAGGAAAATGGTGGGGCACTGGAATTGCCTGGAGATGATTGTTTGCCCAAACACTTTCTTTTTTATGTGTATATATAATAGCAACTATTTTTTTTTTTTTTTTTTTGAGTAAATTACAATTTTAGTTTTGTATGTTGCACTACTTTAACTATTTCGTCCTCTTCAAATTGTGATTTTGATTTTTGCCCCATATGTTTCGAAAAATGGTTACAAAAATGTCATTTTTGCAACAAAAAAGTCCTTTATGTTTTGCGAAAAATGTTCCAATTTCGTCCCTTGTGTATGAAAAGAACTTTTGTGTAACTTTTTTTCAAACTTACGGGACAAAAATGAAAAACGCAAATCAAAGAGGAGGAAAAAATTAAAATAGTAAAATATATATGACAAAAATTATAATTTACACTTTTTTTTCCACTTCTTTGGCTTGTAGGCTGATTTTCTCCCATTTATCACATTTTACATACTTATTCCACATATGGTAAATGCATAAATTCACATGCAAATGATTATGTGAGTGAATGATAGAATATTAAAATCCTCAGAAAAGTATTTATTAATAGTTAAATTTTATTTTAATAAGAGCTATTAATAAAATTTAGATTAGTGAATTTAGTTTCTTAAATGAAATTATATACCAATTTGATAGAAATATGTAATCTTTAATGTGGGCAAATTTCTATTGAATTAAGAATCTAACTATAAATTTGAATGTGTCTTGTCCTTTACTTTTATGTTAATTTTAGTCCTTGATTATTTGAATATTTTCATAATACATATAACATATAACATTAGCAAATTAAAGTTCACAAAAAATTAATATCCAAAAGTTTCATTATATTATGTTTTTTATTGTTAATTTTCTTATTTTACATCTTGTAGGTGAAATGACATGAAAAATTATAATAAATATTTATAAAAATCATATACATTTCGTTATGAGTTAAATGGGTCTCACAAATAATTATATTTTTAACTAAAAGCTAAAAGTTACTTTTATTTTATCTAATTCGGACAATGATTCAAAATAAAATCTTTAATAAGAAATACATAAAACTTGAAAAAAAAAACTAATATTTTATTTATAACTAGACTTTCATTAAAAAAAGATTCCATTAACTTTTATTTTTTTAATTTCAACTTAATAATTAGAAATCTCCGAATATTTAATACGAAGCGTACCAATCAGTCCGATACCCACAACAACCGAGTCTAGATATAAAAATCCCCATATTGAAGTACCAAAACTTTGATAGTGTTGGAGATGTTGAATTAGGATTTTATCTATATTTGGGTCAGATATTTCTAAATACACAAACCAAATATTTTCTATGGTTCGGACCAGACATATCAGTTGGACTGGGAACAAGTCAATTAACCATTTCGGTACGATGAATGAATCGATTGCCGGCGAACCACCAAAACCGGTTGAACCGGCCAGTCGGACCAATTTGAACCAATTCATTTTTTAAAAAATAAATGTTAATGTATTTAATAATATTTATAAATAAAAAACACATATATAAATATAATGGATTTATATAAGTTATATTAGTTAGTTTAACTTAAACTCACAACAAATCTTGAAGGATTCCAAATAAATATACCAATTAAGGACGTGCTTGGATATAAGTATATCCGCTCAAAACAAGCTTTTTTGTTCTAACATAATTTGTTGTCAACCAAATTTTAAGTTTATATTAAAATAATTTATAATAAAATAATTATAATTGAATTGACGTAAAAGTGAGAGGGATAAAACGTGTTTTTTTTTTTTTTTGAAGGAAAGGGGGATATAACATTAAGTGATAGTTAAAATTATGTGAGATGATGATTAGTGAATTAGAGTTGATGTGATGATTAGGAATGTTTGATTAATACTATTGATTATATTATTAATATGAAAGATAACAAAGTTGGGTTAAAGTTGAGCTAGATTTTTAATATGAATTGAATTGTTTTATATATAAACTATTTGAATATTTTAAAATAAATAAATATTTAATCAACAAAATTTACATATATAATTTTTATTATATAAAATAGTATATATATATATTTAAAAGCTATGTTTTAAATACCGTACCGTACCGTACCGATCGGTAATACCGGATACCGGCCACTGGTACAATACAATTACACTCAAAGTATCGGATTTACGGTTATATCGGTTTGTACAAGGATCATACCGTAAAAATGGCACAATACGGTCCAAAATACCGGTCAATAAACAAAAAATAAAAATAAAATTTAAATTGGTAGTTAAAATATTTTATTTTTATCTCATTGAGAAGTTGAAATTAATTATTATGGTCACTTATTTTTTTATTTTTTTTGCATTTGGTAATATATATTTTTATGTATATTTATATGTATCATTATATTTGCTAATTAGATAATACCATCGATATTACCGATCTGCGTATCAAACCGATTCTGTATTTATAAAACACTGTTTAAAAGTGGGTAATTTATTTAAAAAAATATATAGAAATTAAGTGGACCAAAAAAAAAAAAAAAAA